AATGCAGAAACACAGTGCAGAAATGCAGAAAACGCAAAAACACTGTGCAGTAACGCAGAAATTGCCGAAACGCTGTGCAAAAATGCAGAAACTCTGTGCAGATTCCAAAAATAGTGTGCAGAAATGCAGAAAACGCATAAACACTATCCAGAAACGCAGAAATTACTGAAATGATGTGCAGATTTGCTGAAACGCTGTGCAGAAATACAGAAAATGCAAAAACACTGTGCAGAAACGCAGAAATTGCCGAAACGCTGTGCAAAAATGCAGAAACTCTGTGCAGATTCCAAAAATAGTGTGCAGAAATGCAGAAAACGCATAAACACTGTGCAGAAATGCAGAAAACGCATAAACACTGTGCAGAAACGCAGAAATTACTGAAATGATGTGCAGATTTGCTGAAACGCTGTGCAGAAATACAGAAAATGCAAAAATATTGTGCAGATTCACAGAAATACTATGCTGAAATGCTGAAACACTGTGCAAAAATGCAGAAACACAGTGCAGAAATGCAGAAAACGCAGAAACACTGTGCAGAAACGCAGAAATTGCCGAAACGCTGTGCAAAAATGCAGAAAATGCAAAAACATTGTGCGGAATCGCAGAAACTTTGTGCATAAATGCTGAAACAAATGAACTTAGAAAATATAAAACAAATCGAGAAGAGAACATAAGAAGCGAACAAATTATTATACTTAGTTTAATCCACGTTTTAAATTATTATAAATTCCCATCCCAAAAGTCTATTTATAGTTGAAAATCTTGATATCTCTCAACATTCCACCACAACTATTACTTCAATCTCAACTTTCTGCCTTACTGGTTGCTTCAGTTTCTTAATACTTAGTTCTTTGTTGCTCGGATTCGTCAAAAAAGAGAAAGTATTGTACCTTATGGCTGGAGGACCAAGAATAAGAATAAAGGTGGAGTCTCCAACATCTAAGTTCTATACTGAAGTGAGAGGAAATAGTACAGTAAAAGAATTAATGAAGATAATCATAAAGGTATGGGGAGATGAATACATGAGTGTTTATCACAAGTCTACAAAAATGAAGAGTGATCAACCTCTATCTGCTTACCATATCAAAGATGGCTCTATTGTCAAAATTAAAATTTTTGCAGAACCTCCTGATGAGCCAGTGAGTGTAATCCAAATCCCAAAGAGAGAATGCCCAAGCAGCTTAAAGTTAATAGAAAATAACAACAAATGTAATTTATTTGGTTTTCTTTGGTTTCATAGTGTTTCCTGAGGGGTATATCTCTCCAGTTTTATGTAATTTATTGATTTTTTCAAACTGATATAAATATATGTTATACCTTCTCTCACAATGCTATTAAATAAGGACAAGATTATATAAATTTTACGAGTATACTAAACTAGCCAAAGCGTAACTCAACAAAGCAAAGCAAGACTATACTACAGATAAAGGAAATAGTGCAAACAAAGGATTTAAGATTACTTATATGNCTCAAGGAAAGGAAAAGAAAAACTAAAAACAAACAAAATTCCAAAGTGTAGATAGTTTTTGTCAGCCACAAAGGCCTACTTGGACACGACAACCTTTGGCAAGTGGTCATTCTACTTAGCTTAAAGATCAACAGAGGGTTCAACAAAATTGAAAGTTAAAGATGATGGTTCTTTTAACATCCAAAGAAGAATAATCCACATAAGATACATTACTATTTTAGAACAAAAACGCAAAAGAATGGCACTACAGTATCAGAAAAAATAGTGCAGTTCAGGAACCAGATTTTAGTGTCATGAACCACAAGGAGAGTGCTGGAAAAAGGAAAAACAAAAAAGGGGGAACGTATGCATCTTTCTGTAGCTTCAAAGATGGAGATTTTACATCATTAAGTTTCAAAAGCATCCTTCCGAGATCAGGATAATCCTTGCAGCGGGAAACCTCCATTGTGAATTCCTTCCATACCATCACATTGCGACCAGAATAAAAAAAATTCCACTTACAATACATTCAAAAATATAACTAATTACTGTAATTTCTCCAATTAAATGCACATACCAAATAAAAGCAGAGAATGTATGCATAAATCGAGTACTGACTTGAATAAACCCTATACTGGTTTCAAAAAATCGATAAAACTCGAATGACAGACCTTTCTTGTTGTCTTTAGAAGTCGAGTGAAGTAAATCAGATCTCGTCGCCGACTGGGTGCCAAGGACTGTCCTTTCTTTTGAAAAATCTAGTGAAGAAAAATTTTTCCTTGTGGGTTTCAAGCCCTAGACCTAGACCTAGAGTGAGGTTGAATCGTTCTATGGAAAATTTTAGAGGGAATTAGAAATTTTAGAGGGAATATTGTAAGTTAGAAATTTTAGAGGTAATAGTTTAAGTGGGAAAGTTTTGTGTGAATTTCCTAAAAATTTTAGACTACGTTTGACGGTGTTGCTTTTAAAAAATACCAAAAGTAATGCTAGTAAAGCGTAGCTTCATATGTGAAGAAGCGTTCTAAAATTTTTTTACATTAGGCAACACTTATCAGGTGTAGTCTTTGTACACAAAGAGCACGTTTTACGAGTGTTACCTAAAATCTGTTGCCAAAAACTCTTAATAAAGGCCACCTTATAAAAGCGTGCCTATAGCTATTTTTGGCAATATTTTTCAAGCGTTGCCTATAAAAGTGTTGCCGTAGGCCAATTTTGTTGTAGTGGGTTGCCTACATCACACATCCTTAGAATGTGATCTTTCCTTGATCCCGTGAACGCATGATACTTTGTGCATTGGACTACGCTTTATGTTCTATGGGTGGACTTAGCTTATGTACACTGGCAATATATAATTTATTTACGCAATTAGTGTAGTTTAATATGTTGTAGTTGATGACATATCATATTTTCATGTTACTAATCCAACTTTTTTTTTTTTTACGAACAATTAACTTGTAATTGTATTTTAATTGAACCTAATAATGTATAAGTTAGCAAAGACGTATCCAAGTTGAGGGATATGGGTTTACATAAACCCATACTCCTCTCTAAATCAAGTATAATAATGGTATATTTTTTCAAGATTACTTAAATATATATGCGTGAACCCATACTCAAAGACTATTATGGTGCAATTATTATTGGTTACATCTCTACAAGCGAAATTGGCAGTTCAAATCCCACTCTAAACGGTCTTGTTTTCGGCACGAAGTGTATATACAAATTTTAGATCCACCTCTTCATATATAATAGTACACTCATCCTCTTGAGATCCTAGATCCGCCTCAAGTTAGGTTACATTGTGGGTGTATAAAAAGTAAATCCTTTATGTTTATTTTGGATTTGTTTCATTAGTAACTTTTCAATAGTCCAGTAATTATCAAGTCAAAGGTATGAACAGCCAGGCAGACGATTTAGACTTTAAGAAGATAACATAAAGGATCTAGCTGGCTTTAGCTTGGTTTTAATTTGAAAGCTATTAATTGGTTACCCATCCAATTCATGAATGCGTCGTCCATTTTTGGATTCTTTCTTGCCTTGTTTTTGTCTTTTGCACATGTAACCAACCAACTTGGTTACATGTGCATTCAAGAATTGTGAGTTTTAAGTATGTCTAAACAAATTTAAATTGATTTAAGCTTGGAATTTCTTTAAAAAAGGGCCATTACTTTAGGGGGTTTTCATTCTTCAAAAGAATGTAACCAAAGAACAAGAAAGGGGTCCAAAATCAAGCTGTGTTCCATAATGTTGGTGTTCCTATCTGTACACGTAATCATTTATTCTCTTCTTCATAAACCTTACCATTAGCCTTCTTGTTCTTAGCTCTCATCTTTCGAATATCTCCTATTTACGAAAAGAATTAATGCTTGTTAATTTTCTTACTAATTGATTCTACATTGTAGAGTAATACAACAAATTCTTACTTTTTTCTTTACGGACGCAAGTAATCTAACATGACAAAGAAAGTCGTCATGACACGTAAATGTGGGACATTTTTCCTCACTTTGAGGGGAAAACGCGCAAATATAGAAGCACAAAGATCCTAAATTGCTTGCCCAAATTTCAGTGCATGTTTGGCCTATTTTTTTTTTTTTAAGACAAAAGTGCTTTTTTTTTGTTAAATTTATTATTATTTAAAAGTACTTTTTTCTAAAATTAAGGTGTTTGGCCAAGCTTTTGAAAGGAGAAAAAGTGTTTTTAGGAGAAGCAGAAAAAAATAGTTTCTCTCCGAAAGCACTTTTGAGAAAAATATACTTAGAAGCACTTTTAAAAGCTTGGCCAAACACTAATTGTTACTCAAAAGTACTTTTCAAATTAAGTAGTCAAACACAAACTACTTCTCACTAAAAGCATTTTTTTTAAAAAAAAAATACTTTTGACAAAAGCACTTCTCAAAATCAACTCATTTTAGAAACTTTGTCAAACATGCTAGTAGATTTTATTCGTGGTTAATCTTGCAGTTTTTCTAAACAAGAATAGATAGATGATATATGGGTCTTATTTAAAATGTATTTCAACATTGAAGATGAAAGTCGGCATTAAATAACACGATTATTTTGTATAATATAAAGGTAATTTTTTTTCATATACTTGACAAAAGAAAAGATTCTTGAACTTTTGTAAACTTGTAGATTAAAGGGATTACACAATTTTCAATAACTAAAATGTCTCTCTCTAAAGGGAAAAAGAAGGGGCAGACGCAAATACAAGTTAGTAAAATGCGGACCACTAAAGGATGTGGTGTAGTGGATGGGACTGCTCCTCTCTTAACCAGAGGTCTCGAGTGGCGATTAGTGGTTTTCTTTCCGCAGCTGTAAATGTGGCATAGGCAGCTGGTCGGCGTCAAGTGTCAAATGTCCACATCGCACTATATATTTTCGATCTATAATTAAATCTTCATTTTTTATCTTAGTTTTCATTTCACCGCGTATTGAGCATTATATTCCTTTTTTCCCATCATATGTTTGCGCTTATTTACTCGTTTACTTTCGCTCTGTTTATGGTAATAAATAGAAAAGATTCATAAATATAGTTCAGTGCACCCATTAATTAAATAACCCCACTTTCCATCTCCACTATCTCAAACTATTATATATAGCCTTTACTACTCACCATTTAGTAAGTCAAACATTCAAAATCCTTCAAATTATTAAAACCAAAAACAATATTATGGCTGTCAAATTTCTTCCTTTCCTTCTCTTCCTTCTTGTCTCCTCAGCTACTGCCTGCGATCGCTGTGTTCACCAATCCAAAGTTGCTTACTTTTCCAGTGCTTCTGCCCTTCTGTGTAAGCCTTTTATTTTCTTGCTTCTTAAATTTTGAGCAAGAACGGAGCCTTGGCGTAACTGGTAAAGTTGCTGCCATGTGACCAGAAGGTCAGGGGTTCAAGCCGTGGAAATAACCTCTTGTAGAAATGCAAGGAAGTCTACGTACAATAGACCCTTGTGGTCCGCCCTGACCCCGCGCATAGAGGGAGCTTAGTGCACCAGGCTGCCCTTTGTTTTATCTGTTTTTCATTTTATGTGAATTTCCTATTTTTGCAGCTGGTGCGTGTGGTTATGGAGATTTAGCAATAGGCTTTAATGGGGGTCGACTTGCTGCTGCTATTCCTAGCCTTTACAAAGAAGGAGCTGGTTGTGGTGCTTGTTATCAGGTTAATTCTTTATCATTAACACCTTCAATTTAATTTCTCATATAATTTAATTAATCTACGCAATATTAATTTGAATTGCTAAATATGAATAATAAACTTGTTTGAATTGCAGATTAGATGCAAGGACTCAACACTCTGTTCGAAAGAGGGCACAACTGTAATTGTAACTGATCTAAATACCAATAACCAGACGGATTTTGTGATCAGTAGCCGAGCATTTATGTCCATGGCCAATAAAGGAAAAGCTAAAGACGTTCTTAAATTGGGAATTGCTGATGTTGAATATAAAAGGTTCGTAGTAAAATTACCACATGTTTTAGACTAGACACCGGATATTTTATTTGATGCAATGATCATACAAATCTTTAAAAACTAATTAAGTTAAGAATTATTTTACAGTATTAAACTTCATACATGATACTTTTGTGGTCCGGTCCTTCCCGAACCCCGCGCATAGCAGTACCTTAGCATATCGGGCTGCCTTTTTTTACATTAAAAAATATGCATGAGTTTCTTTCTAATCAAAAGATTTGTTTTCAGATAATAATTGTTGAGGTATTATCACTTTTAGCCTGCGCCAAATTTTTTTTACATTTGATAGCCAAAAAAGTGTTTAAAATTTGTATAATTTTTGTATATAACATACAAAATGTATATATATACATAAAATATATAATTTTTATATATATTTCCAGCCATTATTTTTACAGCGGCTATACAGTGTCATTTTTTCCATAATTATTAATTTGTTCTGTTTACTGTGGGCTTATGAACTTTGCGTTGCTTGTCCGAATTTTATTGTCAGCATACTGTACTAATGCTAATACTTACCCGCACCGGATGTTTACACCAAACTATATTAACTCACTATGGTTAATTAATTTAATTAGATGAGAATGCATATAATTTACCATGATTAAATGATTGAAGTCCATATGCAAGACACATGTCATGTATAAACATCCGGTGCGGGTAAGTTTTTATTTGGCGGTTTCGTTACAACAACCAAAACATTAAAAAACAAGTTGTAAATTCTGAAAAAAAGGAGTCATCTTACATGCCCCACTTGACCAGATAATGTACTATACATAATTAAAGCAGTAACGGTCAATTGAACATGTCTAAGTACTCAATTCAATTAATGATATGTGCATACGTGTTATTGATTAGACTCAGTAAAATAATCAAATGGAAAAGAGTTTGGAATGAAAGGTTATGCTTCGAATAGTATATTAATGCTGGTAATAATATTGTATTTTTCGTGGAGACAGAGTTCCATGTGATTACAAAAGCAAGAATTTGGCTATTCGAGTGGAAGAATCAAGTCAAAAACCAAATTATCTAGCAATTAGCTTCTTGTATCAAGGTGGTCAAACTGAAATTGTCGCTGTCGACATAGCTCAGGTAAAAAAACTACTCCCTCTATTCCATTTTGATAGTCGCGTCGCTTTTGAGTTGACACAGAGTTTAAGATGTTAATTGTATTGACGAATGATATGTTTTAGGTTGGATCATCGACCTGGAATTTCCTGAGCCGAAATCACGGAGCAATTTGGGACACAAGTAGAGTGCCAACAGGGGCATTGCAATTTAGGTTTGTGGTGACAGCAGGGTATGATGGCAAATGGAATTGGGCAAAATCAGTGCTGCCAGCAGATTGGAAGAATGGGGTAATTTATGACACTGGACTTCAGATCACTGACATTGCTCAAGAGGCTTGTTCTCCATGTGATGATGGAAACTGGAAACTTCATTAGTCTTAAAAAAAATATATTTTAGCTGTAATAATCTATGTGAATACACGTAGTAAAAGTAAAAAGAGATCCAAAATTAATAAAATTGTAGATTGATGCAGTTGGATAGACAGATAGGGATACAAATTCTCCTGATTTTTTCTTCTTTAAGTCATATATTCATATTGCTTTATGAGGACTAAATATGTAACGTTAGAGTTATCTTCATATTTATTATAAATAACATTAGATTCTTTTCGGCATCAACAGAATTGATTAATAATTTATATTGCTTCCAGTGCATTTATCATATTACTGTCCACCGCAGTTTAACTGTTCCAGTTTTATTTCACAGATTAGACTGAATTAAATGTTAATTAATAAAAAAATTATTTACTTAGACGCCTTAATTTAAAATAGACAGATTTAAAAGGGGGGAGGGGGAACAGATGCGGATCCAGAATGTGAATTCTATGGGTTCAATCTTTAATATTATTAGTATTAAACTCATTATATCCTTAAAAGTTATGGGTTCATACAATTTGTTGTGATTTTAGTGCATTTTTGCACATAAATTTATACTCCGTATTGCAAGTTATGGTTCAATTGAACTCATTGGTATAAGGCTACATATGCCCATGGGAAGGAGGGGGAGGGGGGGGGGGGGCGGTTGACGCAATTAAGCACAGATTCAAATGTTATAAAGCTGACAAGGCCGAAAATTCCTATTGAATTACATAGTCATTCAAAGTAAAAAACTTATCAAAATTCCAAATAGACAAACAAAATAGAAATATATAATTAATGTCACCCTCAATTCTTGAAACAAAATTTGTGATGTTGTAATTAGCATATTGGCGAATAGTTTGTATAGATATCAACAGTTGAAGGATGAAGAAGGAAAAACAAATGTTACAACAGCAGGCCTATATGTCAATATTTAGTCAAAATATTTAAAACTTTAGGTTGTTTTGCTCTAACAGAAAGTAAATAAGATAGAGCTTCAAATAAGTGCTCAGTCTCATGGACCTCTTCTTCTTTTTTTTCCACCTTTTTGGGGTCTCATATTAAAGTTTTTTTTTTTTTTTTTTTCATTTCGTGAGGTTAAACATAGATGAAGGAGATATCAAGAAGATGGTGATATTTTTTACATTGTGAAAATAAGGGAAAAAAAGAACAAAGTGGAAGAAGAAAGTAACTTCATCAAGAGCACTTCTTGATATGCAACTTCTTGTTCATGTAAAGTTTTGAAAAGCACGTGTACCCATTTCAGAAGCTCGTTTACCAATTATTAATCCTTGTGTGTCAACAAAAAATTCCCAAAATATCCTCACGTGTACTATTATAAGCCCAAGTTCCTATGGTGATGGTGGTTGAACTTTGGGCCATTGTCTCAGAAAAAAATCTTGGGTCCATATAGCCCAATCACCCACTGAAATGTGAATGTCAAAACGGGGAGCTCGGGGGGTGGGTGGGTGGGTGGGTGGGTGGGTGTTATGTTTGGGTAGGGGTGTCCATGGTTCGGTTTGGATCGGTTTTTTCCTAAAAAGAAACCAAACCAAGTAAGTCGGTTTTTTTAAATATTAGAACCAAACCAAACCAATTAAGTCGATTTTTTCTCGATTCGTTTTATGTCGGTTTTTTGGTTTTTTCGGTTATTTGTTGGTTTTTTCTTAAATATAAGACATACACTACCAAATACACATTTCGGCGACCACATTTTCAATGTAACCCTATCAAATCAATTGCCCTTTGAGAAATCTATTATTTACCAAGATATATTGATGATAATTGAATCAAATAGTAATGAGTAATTTAAGGACTCAATTAAAAATATATATTTTTAACATGAAATAGATTCTTACACTTAACAAAAGAAAACTACCAATTAAACTAGAATGTAAAGGTAAAGAACTGTACTAAAAGTGCAAACGATTAATATTTACTATAAAAATTTTAATACTTTGTATAAAAGTATACATATATATAGGTGTAATAATAAATTTAAAATAGCTAATCCTATATTCGGTTTGGTTCGTTTTTTTTCTAATTAAAACCAAAACCAAACCAAATTTGATCGGTTTTTAAATTTAACCAAAACCAAACCAAACCAAAAAGTATCGATTTTTTTGGTCGGTTTGGTTTGGTTTTCGGTTTGGTTCGGGTTTTCGGATTTTTATGAACACCCCTGTGTTTGGGTCGTAGCCTCAAAAGTTTTAGGTGAGAGCAAATGTTTTCCAACATGTTAGTCTTTTATTAAAAGGTCTGTGTACACATTACCCTTCACATATCCCACGATGTGGAATAATATTGGGTATGTTATTGTTGTTGTTGTTATCGGCGGTGGTAGTTCTTAAACTATGTGAAATGACCCCAATTTGCCTTTGATATTATGAAATAGTCTAAATTTCTTTTCCTGCCATCAATCCTCATCTTGCTAAATCGATCATCACTGTCATAATAATTGATTTTCCCTCACTCTCAAAAGAGCCATATAGATGGACGAGTGTTACTCTATCACCACTTCACCCCGACCTATGACACTCACGAAAAGAACACATCAAAAGTTCACACAATAACTACCAATTTTCAGACAATCACTCATACCTTCTTCTTTACCACTTTTCCTAAATTATTATATAATTTACATCATAACGGGTCGTGGCCTCGTAGTGCTATCATTTCTTACAATTTCATCACACATACAGTTGTTGTTGAAGCTGTTCCGGCTTTATTGGCGTTGCAGATTTTTATTCATAAATATGTCAGGCTGTAGATTGTTGCATTAATTTAGTACTAATACAAACATCTTTTTGCTTTTCATCCCTTTTATCAGCATTGCATCTTGATAGTAGTCTATATTATGCACTGTAGATGCTATTTATGCTCTAAATTAACCATACTTTATTGATGTTTTAAGTGCTAAATGATAACAAAATACTTTAATTGAGGTTTTATGTTTTGCAGGAGCTACCACTACTAGAATTCTGCAAAAAAGCGACCAAAAAATAGCGACCAAAGTTGGTCTGAAGAGAAAAGCGACCAACGTTGGTCGCCAAACTAGCGAAAACAATAAAGCAAATAAATGAAACAAATAAGCGACCAAGATTGGTCGCCACTTGGTCGCTAAATTAGTCAAAATGTTGACTGGACTGGTCAGACTTATTTGGTCAAAGGTTTACTGAGATTAGCGACCAATGTTGGTCGTTAAAGTGGGACCCACCTTCAAAATTTTAATAATTATATTATTATTTGAAAAAAATATAAAATTTAAATATATATAATTTGAACTTGGCGACCAACGTTGGTCGCTAAATAAAGGGTAGACAGATAGCGACCAAGTTTGGTCGCAAAAGTGGGACTCAGTTATAAATTTTAATAATTATATTTTTAATTTAAATATTATATAAAATATAAATAAATATGATTTAAATTTTGCGACCAACTTTGGTCGCTAAATTAATTTCATGTATAATTAGCGACCAAAGTTGGACTCCATTAAGGTCAACAATGGTCAAAATTAAAATCACTTTTGTATTTACTATCTAAAAATATAAATGTAAGCCGTTAATATATATAATATATATACTTACGCTGTACTATGCACTAAGTATAAGTGTATTAGGTAATATTATATCGAATATGGCTTATATATATATATATATATATATATATATATATATATATATATATATATATATATATATATATATATATATATATATATATATATAGTTACGTTGTACTATGCACTAAGTATAAGTGTATTAGGTAATATTCTATCGAATAAGCCGTTAATATATATAATATATATATTTACGTTGTACTATGCACTAAGTATAAGTGTATTAGGTAATATTATATCGAATAAGGCGTATATATATATAATATATATACTTACGCTGTACTATGCACTAAGTATAAGTGTATTAGGTAATATTATATCGAATATGGCTTTATATATATATATATATATATATATATATATATATATATATATATATATATAGTTACGTTGTACTATGCACTAAATATAAGTGTATTAGGTAATATTCTATCGAATAAGGCGTATATATATAATATATATAGTTACATTGTACTATGCACCAAAGTTGGTCGCTTGATATGATTAACAATAAATAAAAATAAAACGTTATTTACATCTTGCGACCAAAGTTGGTCGCAAAATTTATAATATTAAAATATTTGAGCGACCAAAGTTGGTCGCTATATGCTTTGCCCGAAAAATTTGGTCCTTTTACCTGTAGCGACCAACTTTGGTCCCTAAGGTAAAGGGACCAGCTTAATATCGACCAGACGTGTTTGGTCGCTTTTTGGTCGCTTTTTGGCCAATAAGCGACCAACTGTGATCGCTTTTTTTCGGATTTCTAGGAGTATACTCCGAGTTAGGAGGAGAATATAGAGTGTTTTTGGGGTCAAGAAATTAAGATACAAGGTCAATAGAGAAGAGCCCGAATGAAAATGTGCAAAAAAAGGCGAAGAAAAACTGGGCAACAGCCCACCCCGACCGCGGTGGGACCGCGGCTGGAACCCGGTGAAAGGAGGCGAAAAACAGAATTTTTGCAAACCACCGCGGTCGTGCCGCGACCGCGGTTGCTCCGGAGGAAGCCAAGAAGTTTGAGGGCCAAATTGTAAATCGTGGAAAACTTATCCCAGCCTTTTATAAACTCAACAAACTCGCCCAAGCAAAGGGGGAAGCTTGTTTCTTAGATCTAAGAAGGCCAGGAGGAGACCAATTTTTGACATAGATTCGACCTAAGGAGGCAGAGACACAATAGGAGCAAGGCGGGAAATTCTTCTACGAGTTTTTCCTTCCTCTTCCTATTTTTCGTTGTTGGTTATGACTTTTAGTATTGTAGTTTTACATACTATTATGAATAACTAATTTGTTATCTAGGGTTTTGATAGAACCTTTTGTAAGATAAATTCTTGTTATGTTTTTATATAATTGAGTCATTGGATTTCTCTACTTATTCAACTACGTGTTTGTTGTTGTTGATTGAATGGCCATCAATTGACTGTGCCTATTTAGTGTGCACTGCTTGAGAGAGAGTACATATTTAGGTAGTTGTTGAACAACTTCACTCCTAATATATGTGAGAAATCAATACATTGGGTTTAAATGTAGGTTTAGAAATAACAAAGCCTTGACGTGGTCATAGTGAGCGGTTAGATAAAGCCAACTAGCGTAGTTTGAGAGAATATGTCTAGTGAATTATTGTAGTTGCTCGAGAGAGAATTACGGC